TATTTTGTTAAAAGGCCAAATAAGGAATTCAAACAAAAAAAAAAACTCATTTTCTGTTTAGTTTTCTTCTTGGTTCAGGCTTTAAAGGGTTCATTTAATGGTAAAAACTTTGCTCAAAATCCTACTGTACACAATCAGATACACCTGATAACTGGTACCTTGGCTCAAAAAAGGTTGAAAAACCCTGGGCTAACACACATTAGGATGAGTCTCTTTGTGAGACGAGGAACTGAAGGTTTTGGCTCACCGGGGATGCTGGGGGGGGGCAGGACCTCCGTTAAGCCGCTCTGGTACATGGTGAGGTTCGCATGGGTCAGGATGCTGCTGAGACACGGGGAAGACATGGAGACCCTGAGGAGAAAAGCACATCTGGTTACCAACATCATCAGGGTTAGTGTAGTGGCACTCTGCGTCCCAAAAGTTTGTCGTACCACCTTTGCAGTTTGTCTAGCAACCAATATCTGAATAACTCGACTGAAACCAAGTCTTCTTTTACGATATTTACTTAAACAACTAAAAAAAGTACACTTGCAGAAAAATAAAATAAATAAAAGGCTCGGTACAGATCGGTCAAAAAATTGTGTTGCTTCCACCGTATCGAACTGCAATCTAAACTTAAACGTGAATACGGGCAATATTATTGTTACGCATTACGTAGTGGAAGCCAAATTACCTTTCACAATAAAAGCATCATTATACATCAACTAAATGATATATTCTAGAAAATATACTCATCAAGAATTCCCCAAAAAGTAAATTAAGCATATTTATACATTTTTAATCTAAATTATTATTCTATATGAACTCCCCATTAACTGGCTCTTACAGTTAGCATCTTTATAAGACATTCGGCTTTGAGATGTTTACCTGATTCCAGCTCGATTTAAGAAGATACCTGCAAACGACCCGGTCTGGAATCTGGTCTCTGAGAGTTCCTGTTGAGTCCAGACGCACCTTTATCAACTCAACTCAACTCAACTTTATTTAAAATAAATAAATAAATAAATAAGAAAAAACAAAACCAAGTAAGAGAGGGAAATTAAGACGACTAAGATAAAGTCGAAGTCTCACTCAAAGGCCTGAGAGAAGAAGTGGGTCTTTAAAAGGGTTTTGAAAGAGCTGAGTGTAGGGTTCTGTCTGATAGAAAGCCTCCCTTTATGTGTTTGGGAGTGTTATAGGGCACAGCTATAGTTATAGGCTCACGTTAGGGAGTGGGAGGACTCCAGTGGAAAAAAAACAATCAGGGGGGTTCCACCTGAGCGTGGCCACCCCCCCCCCCCCCCCCTTCCTCCACTTTCCTGAGAACTCGATAAACAAAACAAGCCTGTCCGGCTTTTCTGTCTAACGCTTTTCCACCGTCTCTTAGATAGTTACACAAGAGTGGATCAGGTTTCTCCCAGTGTGGTTTAACAGTGTCGGTACCTGTCCGTCTGCGGGTCGCTGAGCTTTAACCCTATAAAGCCAAATATATCATATCTGATCGGGTTTCTTTTGGATGTGAGACTTTCTGCATCATTCAGTGGTAAAAGCTTTGCTCAAACCCCTGTTGTACACATTCAGATATACCTGATAACAGCCAGTAGAACACTACACCAACATAGATTTATGACTTATTGCACGCTAATTTGATCAAAATCATTTCTGTTTTTTTTCTTCATGTGTTGTTGAGGGGCCAAAGAAAGACTTCAGACTAAAAAAATCCAATATTCTTCCTATTTTTCTTGGATCGGGCTTTAAAGCGTTAATGGGCGTGTGGTGATTAACGCCAGGTTTGGTTTGAAAATAAATATGTAGACATCTACATATTCTGGTTAGGGTTAGGTTATTTACACACACACACACACGCGTCTATACACACATAGGTATAAAGAGAGCGGGACGTGGAGGTGGAGGCAGTCGTCTGTAGATTCCCCAGATTTTGAAATACGCACACAGTAAAGGTGTGAGTGCACATGGGTGACTAAGAATGTCTAAGAATAGAAGTGTGACGACAGGCGATTGTTCACAGGTAACAGGTGCTCTGTCCACTGATGAAAGGACTTTGAATAGGTCGGGAACAAAGGTTTGTGTTGATATACAAACTATTCAAGAGCATTTAAGAGGAAAAACACTTTCACATAAAGACACAGAAAGGAAAAGATCAAGAACCAGGCGGGCTGATCAAAAACAACCCCTCAACCGTTTTGTTAGCCCGATTCTTTAGCTGGAAACCTGAGAATAAACCAGAGTGGATCAAAAGTCTAAAAATGACATTTCTTGGACACAGTTAAGTGTATCAGTGGGCTCTGACAGACTAAAACCTCTCTCTGGGTCTCAGTGGGTTAGAGCCCTGAGATCTGGGTGATGGGCATTATCTCCTGGGCTCCATCCGCCTCCTCAAAGGAGGACTGGACACAACCAAGTCCTATTGGCCAGTTACCTCTGGGCAGGAACAGGCCAGGTCCTAATTCATGCAGAGGACAGGAATGTGCTAACAAATGGTGTGTGTGTGTGTGTGTGTGTGTGTGTGTGTGTGTGTGTGTGTGTGTGTGTGTGTG